CTAAGGGGAGGGAGAAGGAGGTTAAATCATGGAAGTCAGTAATTAGAGAAATGGAAAAATCCCGTATTACCTAGTTTTTCAAGTACTTAGGGCCACCAGCCACTCCTCGGAAGGAAGGTTGGGCAATCTACTTCTGTAGTGATACTGCCTCGGAAACCCAAGGAGGGGTCGCTATGAGTTGGGTCCGACTCGATGGCACATAACAACAACAATAGGGCCTTACAAGGAGCTCTGGTGGCCTATTGCCTAGGGCATTTGACTGCTAACCAGAAGGCTGGTGGTTCAAATCCACTAGCCACTCCTTATTAGGAAGATTGGGCAATCTACTTCTGTAGTGATACTGCCTCGGAAACCCAAGGAGGTGTCACTACAAGTCAGATCTGACTTGACAGCATTGAGTTTGGTTTGAGTACCTTACATAAAGAGGAACTGACCAGTCTGACTTCTAATGATAAATGTTACCCCTTCACATGGACTGAAACAAAAAATTACACTTAAAAGTTTATTATTCAAAATTACAAAGAAAAATGAGCATACAAGTTATTAAAGGTTGAAACTATACTAAGTCTTCTGGGCCACCGTATATAAGTTAATAAAGGACCCCTGGTGATGCAATGGTTAAGAGGACAAAACTAATTAGCTATTATTCAGTCAAGTCAACCTTCCATCTATGTTAAATATACCCAAAAGCTATTTTTCACTCTAATTACTAACTGAGGAAACCAGAGATGTTTCTTGGATGCTAAGTGAAAGGTTGGCAGTTCGAACATACCCAATGGCTTCTCAGGAAAATGACCTGGTGATTTGCTCCCATAAAGATTTCAGCCTAGAAAACTCCATGGGACAGTTCTACTCTGTCTCATGGAGTGGCTACAAGTTAAAATCAACTTCACAGCACACGATAACAAGTGTGCAAATGAGAGCGGGAGAGTAAACACCAAAAAATTCTGTCCCTCAATAGATTTTAGAAGTAGCCTAGGTGAGAAAGAAAAATAAACCCTAGAATATAAAAAACAATTACAATAATTTTATCATTGTTTCATGCTTTCTCCTAATAAACCCATGTAGAGGAAATATATTATTTCCATAAACTGAACTTAGCAGCAATAAATGTGATTTATCCTTCAGCACCTTAAAAAAAGGAGGGGTGGAATGCTGAAATGATGGAGGCACAAGCAGGTCTAGAATCCCGACTCTCCCCAAACAAACAACAAGAAAAGCAGTTAGCCATCTGTGCTTGACCCTATGTTGCTGTTGTGTTGTTAGGTGTCTTTGAGTTACCTCCAACTCATAGTGACCCTATGTACAACAGAATGAAACATTGCCCAGTTCTACACCATCCTCACAATCTTTGTTATACTCAAATCCACAGTTGGAGCCACTGTGTCAATCCATCTTGTCTAGAGTCTTCCCCTGGCTGAACCTCCACTTTACCAAGTGTGGTATCCTTCTCCAAGGAATGGTCCCTTCTGACAACATGACCAAAGTAAGTAAGACAAAGTCTGGCCAGTCCCATTTCATAGTAACAATCTGGCTGCACTTTTTCCAAGACAGGTTTACTACCATATAAAACACACACCAAAGAATGGTCTACTTATATGGTAGAGTTCACACTTTCTTATAGGACTGAAAACCCGACCATCATTTTGCCTCTAGATTACAGATCAGTGGAGTAGTGAATAAAAATTGATTGCTGAGGGTAAACTGTTCAGTGTGTGTTTTGTGATCCAGCTGGGAGTCACTGAAGGATTGAAACCTTGGAACGGCCTGAATCAGAGATCTCACATGGTGGGGGAGAGTAGTGAGCAAAATATGAAGACTACGTGAGCCTAAAAGTTCTTTACACAAATCAGTGTTTTCAAAAGCACTGCTGGAAATGAGAGCTAACGCAATGCAATATTGAACTACCTCTGGTAGCATAGTGCCTAAGGCACTTGACTGCTAACCAGAAGGCTGGCGATTCAAACCCACCAGCCACTCCTCAGAATGAAGGTTGGGCAATCTACTTCCGTAGTGATACTGCCTCGGCAACCCAAGGAGGGGTCACTATGAGTCGGGTCTGACTCGATGGCACATAACAACAACAAAAAGAAGCAAGCTCAAAGAACTAAAGAAAAATAAAGACAAAGAACTAAAGGAAATCAAGACCATGACGTATGAATGAAACAAGAATACTAATTAGGAGACAGACATTATAAGAAGAAACCAAACAGAAATAATGGACTGAAATTAAAAACTCAATAGAAGGAATTTAAAGCAGATTTGAGCTGTCAGGAAAAAGAATCCAAGAACTATAGGGTAAGGTAACAGAAATTTAGTCTGAAGAGGAACAAGAGAAAATACCTCTGAGCCTAACATAATGGAAATGTGGGACAACATCAAGGGAACTAACATATAATGGGAATCCCAGGAGATGAAACAGAGAAGTCACCAGAAGGCTATTTGGAGAAATAATGGTAGAAAACTAAAAAAATCTGATGAAGGACATAAATTTAAAAATTCAACAAGCTCAATGAATTCCAAGTAGGATAAACCCAAAAAGTTATATACCAAGGTACTTTTTATAAGCAAATTCTCAGAAAAGAAAGATAGAAACAAAATCTGGAAAGCAGCATGAAAGAAGCAAATTGTCATATCCAAAGGATTCTCAAGAAGGTTAAAATGCCAACTGCTCACCAGAAACTTTGGAGGGCAGAATGCAGTAGAATGACATATTTAAAGTGCTGAAAGAAGACTTCCAGTAAGATGGCAGAATAGGCAGACAAGCTACACAGACCATTTTCAACAAAGAATGGAGAAAGCAATTGACAGAGATACAGAAGATATTCCTGCAGCCCTGAGCTTTGAAAGGAAGTATAAACAAGTGGATTAGGCACCAACTAGTAGAAAAATCTGAATGAAACAGTGAGTACGAAGACAGAGCTATAGACTGTCAGCTACTCTGATGCCACTAAAAGCCTGAGTATTTCCAAGTGGTAGTGGGACTTGAAAATTGACCTAAAGATCAGCACTGGTTGCCAAGGGGTACAGGAATGACTGTGCTGGTGGCTGATGACTAGGAAGGGAAACAGCAAGGAAGGAGATAACCTGAACTGTGGACATTCAGTGTCCAGGGAGCGCAGTCATTTTGCTTGTTTACAAGCGGTGGCCATTTTAGATATTTAAAGTGACCGAGGGTGCAGCCATTTTTAATGTTTACAAGTAGTGACCATATTGGATATTTAAAGTAACAGCACTCTTATTCAGATTCCAGGGACCTAAGAATAGGCTCTGTTTGCTAAGGACGGCAGAGACACACGGGACAACAAGAAAGGAGACAGGTGGTGAGTGTGTAAATGCTGCCAACTAGTGAACAGAGGAGCACAGTACCCTGCTTACTTAGATAACATCCAAAGAAAGCTAAAATCGTGGGCAAGTCACACCAACATACAATCACCAATTAAATATAAATGGAAAAATGTCACAATGTCTCGGAGACAACAGAGCATCAAAGTTCACACAAAGAAGCAAGATAAATCAGGAGAAATAAGGGAGCAAGACACAGAACCAGAACACATCCCTGAGGAAGAAGCAGCATTGGAACTCCCTGATAAGGAATTCAAAAGAATTATACTGAAGTACCTTCAACGGACTGAGAAACAGATCAAGAAAAATACTGAGAAAACTGAGGAAAACGCAGAGAAAACCCTAGAACAATTTCAAAACACAATGCAAGAGCAAAATGACAATATAAATAAAATTAGAAATGATACAAAATCTACACATTGAAATCCAAAAGTTCAATGCTAAATTTTTAGAAATAGGTTAACACATTGAACAGACAAAGAGCAGAACTAAATCAATAGAAGACAGAATTAGTGTAATTGAAGACAAACACCTGAATACTTTGGAAGAGATCAATCAGAAAAAAGATCAAAACAAAATGAAGAAAGCCTAAGGTTCACGTGAGGTACCACCACAAAGAATAACCTACATGTAATCGAGTTCCAGAACAGGAAGAGACAAACAAAACCACAGAGAAAATTGTCAAAGATTTGTTGGAAGAGAATTTCCCTGGTATGATGACAGATGAGAATATATCCATTCAAGAAGTCCAATGAACCCCAAACAGGATAGAACCCAAAAGAAAATCACCAGGACACATCACCATCAAACTCACTAAAACAAAAGACAGAGAAAGAATCCTGAAATAGCATGGGAAAAATGGAAAGTTACCCACAATGAGCAACCAATAAGACTGAGCTCTGATTTTTCACCAGAAACCATGCAGGCATGAAGACAATGGGAGGACATACAAAAAACCCTGAAAGAAAAAAAATTTCCAAACAAGACTCATACACAGAGCAAAACTGTCCCTCATATATGATGGTGAAATTAGGACATATCTAGATATGCAGAAATTAAGAGAATTTGTTAAAACCTGTCCAACCCTACAAAAGACTGCAAAGGGAGTCCCTTGGACAGAGAACCAACAACAACCAACCATTAACATACATGATGACATAACCCAGAAACCAACCCAGTTATGGAAGTATCCAAAGTAAAAAAACCTGTAAGACTGTAAGCAGGGAACCAGAGATATCAACTGACAAATGAGGACAACTACAAACCAAAAAGAAGGAAAAAACTGTGTAGTTACAGAACTTCTAAATGGTAGGGAAGTCAAGAGAGTTGAAAGATAGAATGGACTGTTCTAAACTTGGGAAGGAAATTATAAATCAAGGGTAACCTCAAGGAAAAATGAAAAACCTTCACATCAAAATAAAGAAGATCAGCAGAAATATTTAACAAATACTAAAACAGCAGCAACTAAGGAAGTAATAACACAATTCAGAAACAAAACGAGCACAGCACAGAAAGTTATATGGAACACAGAATTCAGCAACACCACAAAAGAGCACATAACAAAATAACAGCAACAAATTCATACTTGTTAATAATGATTTTGTTGTTGTTGTTATTTGCCGTTGAGTCGGCCCCGACTCATAGCGACCCCTCCT